GGAATGCCCTGTGGCCTGGGGCAGGGGCAGGTGAGACCTGTCCCAGCCCATGCCCGGGTGAGTAGGAAAGCCCTTACAGGGGGGCTTCCCTTCCATCTGCAGCCAACCAGGGGTCAGCACAGTGTGGCATCTCCATGCCAGGAGCTTAGCTTTGGAGCTGATCAGGGCTGGGGTGGGAAGCCAGCCCTGCTTCTTCCTAACTGTGTGACCTTGATGAGGTTACTCAGTTTCTTTGGGTCTCAGTTCTTCATCTTAATATGGAGACAGTAGTTTTCATCTCATAGATTTATTATAAGGGTGAAATGAGCTGATGCATGTGCAGGGCTTGGCACCGTCCTGGCACATGATGCTCAGGAGCTGAGGGGCGGATGGAAGTGAGAGCGTGCCTGGGAGCACAGGGGCAGAAAGTGGGCCAGTGGGAGTGGGGTGATGTATTCCTGGCCTCAGTGCTCTTCCTAAGTGCCCATGCTGTCTCAGCCACCACCTGTCTCCCCTAAGCCCTCACCCCACCTCTGCTTCCAGGACCCTGAAAACTCACCAGAGCAGCTTCTCCCACTTCAGAATGCCCCCGACCTCAGCACTCCTCTGCTTTGCCCTAAAGCATTCGAAGGATTCCTTCTCACTCTGCCATTTAACTTATTCCTGGTTCCCTTTGTTTATTTCCTGAGTTCTTGGTTACCAGTGGGGTATTTTCTAAGGGAAAGCACATGCAAATCAGGAAACGTCATTCTAGAGACAATGTCTGTGTATGAGTGTGTTGGCGTGGGGCGGGGTGGCGTTGTGGGTGTGTGGAATGAAGGGGGTTGATGGACAAGGATGAAGAGAAAAGGGTGGGGGGGAAGGAGGCAAAGAGCCCCCAGATGGGGTGGCCCCTGGCTGACCTGAGTCTTTGGGGCCAGGCCCAGCTGGAGCCTTGCCAGGGCGCACATACCTACTCCTGGCCAACAGTGGTCCATGGAGCTGAGACTGAATGGGCTCACCCCCTGGCCTGAGAGTGGCAGCTCCCCCTGCCGTGGTCCTCATGCACGAGGCCCAGTGAGTAGGGGTGGGGGCAGGCAGATCTGGGAGCTGGGTGTTCCTGTTGCCTCTTAGATGAGGCTGTCACCTTGCCCCTCCTCTTCCTGGCTCTGCCTTCTCATTCAGTCAACCACCCCTTCTTCCATCAGGCCCTGCACATGCAGCCAACAAACTGATGGCTCCAGGCCTTCCCGGCAGCCTGTGGGGTTAGGCCTGTACCCCTAGCCCGAAGCCGGTCAGGGAACGCGCAGGGATGGGGGGGCGGGGTGGCCCCCGGGGATGGTGGGTAGAAGTTAGGGAGAGGGTAACGGACAATGAGGAGAAGTCATAGATGATTGTGGTCATAGAAGTTGGGGTCATCGAAGATGAGGAAGCAGCCAGATAACAGAAGGGGTCAGAGAACAAGGAGATAGAGGGAAATGTTCACTAAGGTCTGTGATCAGGAGGACATCTGAGAAGAAAGGGAAGAGAAGAGACAAGACCATGGGTGGTAGCAGCAGGGATCATAGAAACGAGGCCTCTTGGAGAGAGACCAGGATGGTGTTCCCTAATTTTGGGTACCAAGCGAACCAGGGAAATTCCAATAATGCCTGTTCTCAACAGCATAGAATAGCAGGATACTGTTGCTTTGACCCATGCCTGGAAAAGTATAAAGAACAAAGTTTACCCAATAGGTCATCGGGCTTACAATCATGTTAATCACAACTTCCGTGAGTCTAGCATTTAAATCAGCTTTTGAAAACATTTGCAAGTTTTTTGGGTTTTTCGTTTTTTTTGTTTTTTGTTTTTTTTTGCGGTACGCGGGCCTCTCACTGTTGTGGCCTCTCCCGTTGCGGAGCACAGGCTCCGGACGCGCAGGCCCAGCGGCCATGGCTCACGGGCCCAGCCGCTCCACAGCATGTGGGATCTTCCCGGACCGGGGCACGAACCTGTGTCCCCTGCATCGGCAGGTGAACTCTCAACCACTGCGCCACCAGGGAAGCCCTTGTTTTGTTTTTTAATCTCAGGTCACACACTCCAAAAGGTAGTGGAAAAAAATTTGAATAAACAAAACGGGTTTGCTGCAGATAAAACCAGGGCTCCTAAACTCCAGTCAACCTGCTTCCACAAGGCCCTGCTGTCAGCCAGCGTGGCACCCAGGCTGGGCAAGCAGCATCCGGCAGGTACCAGGTGAGTGCGCAGGAGCCTGGCTGGGATGTGCTGAGCAGGGCAGGAGCAGAGATATGGCTAGGGTGGAGGAAGCTCTCAGGTTTGGGGCTGGGGACCGGATGCGGCATGAATCCAGGAGCTCAGGGAACCGCTGTGGGAGGGGGCACCCGGACTAGGTGGAAGCAGTATTCTCACTGGCTTTTTCCTATAGGCGGTTGCATTTTTGGCAATGGTCTTGGGAACCCACACCCTCCATTTGTGGCTCCAGAAGGGCTGTGCCCACTGGCCCAGCTGCTGCCCCAGCAAAGGACAGAACCCCACTGAGGAGTGGCTGAAGGGCAACACTGTGCTCATGCCTCCCCCAGAGACCACCAGCCTTGCCCACCACCCGGAATCCTGCAAGGCCAGTGAAGACGGACCCCTCAACAGCCGGTCCATCGCCCCCTGGAGATACGAGTGAGTCTGCTGGCCCCCATCCCTTCCGGAACACCTGCTCATGTGCTTGGTCAGCGTGTGTGCGAGGGACCAGGGGAGTTCCAGACAATTCCAGCCTACCTGCCCCCTTTTACCTCAGGGAGGTTATCAAGTCTGGGTATTAGACAAGGCCTAGCTCTGACTCTTATTGGGTGACCTTGGGCCAATCACTCAAGTGTTCAAAGCTTAGTTCTTTTCATCTGTAAAATGAAATAATATTCCATAGGCTAATGGTGCAGATCATAGGAAATATATGAAAAATCTGTACTTGGTACAGAAAAGGTTGGTTTCTTCCTTTCTTCTTCTTCCTCTATTTCTTCCCTGCCTCCTCTTCCTCCTTCTCCTTCCCCTACAATGGCTGTGTTTTTCTAACTAAAATATCAGAGAATAATATACAATACAGGCACGAAGCAGCCCAATCCCAAATGCTACTGCCCTGAGCCGTGAATAGGTTATAATTATACCCTCCCTCTGCTCTGGTGGGGGCAGCTGGGTGGTTGAAGCCCCAGGCTGGTTATCTTTGATCATGAGCAGTCTTATTCTTTTGCTGTGTGCCGCACACATAATCCTCTATTTTTGTCATGATGTAAAAAAAATATTAGGAAGCCCTGAAATTGGGACAATTAATAAAAATATTAAAAATTCGTGCCTTAGGGATCCCAAACATATTTCTTTTGCAGTCTTGTGTCCTCATGGGGTGTCTGTGTTCCCACTCTCTGTAAGTCTAGTTCTGGCTTAGCCTTGGCTTTGAGGATGGATGGAGAAAGTCAGTGGGTAGGGAGGGGTCAGCCTTGATTGAGACTGGATCCGGGGTGGAGACTGTAGGTCACTATGCTTTGAAGTGGTCTCAGAAGGCTGGCTAGGTTCTGGGCTAAATCTAAAGAGGTGGGAGCCCCTTTGGGGAGGCTGGGTACCGGATGGCTGAGTCGGCTGGGATCTAGACCCCTGGTTGGGAGGCCGTGAACCCCCGGTAACCACTCTGCTGTCCTTCCCCAAAAGCGTGTTCTTTGCAACTTGTCCCACAAGCTGTTCCTCAGAAAAAAAAAAGGATGATGTCAAGTAAGTGGGGGAAAAACTGCTGCAGGCCCCACTCCTTGGAGGTTCCCAGTGTGCCCAGCACCTTCACGGCAAGAAGTTGGCAGAGAAGAAACCATAAAACTCAGCGCTTCCCAGACTCATTTGACCACAGACCCCTTCTGCTGCAGCATGTTTATTGGGGAATGCCACTCTGGGAAATGCCACACTAGCTGAGCCCCAGTTTGCAAAGTCCTGTCTGTTTGGAGGATGGCTTTACAACCTAGGGGCTGTTTCCCTCTGGGCTTCTGGGGTCCCACACCTTTGGAGTACCTACTTTTCATACCTTTTAGGGACCATGAAATCCTTTTAGAATAAGTCAGTAAGCCTTACCACACACTCTTATGTGTGCTTATAATACATGCACAGCCTGTGTCTGGAGGACGGGCAGGATATGGCAGATAGTGGCTTCCTCTGGGGAGGGGGACCGGGGAGACAGACTGTCAGCCTTCACTTGATATTTTCTTATACTTGGATATAAGAGCAGTTTTTACTTTAAAATTTAAAAAAACCCTAAAAAATAATAACAATTACAAAAAGGAACCTCAGGCTAGAGCCCAGTGTATGTATCAGATTGAAGCAGGGCTGGTGTGGTGGAGGCTCTGGTGGAGCTGCTCACCTGCCCCACCTCCCTTAGGGCTCTGGGACCAGTTGGAAGGTCACTCTTCTATGCCCAACCCTCACTGAGAGTTGGGGGAAATAAATCCCAGGAAAGAGGGGGTGACTTGTTCAAAGCCACCTGACACGAGGGTACCAGAGCTGGAATAAGAAGCCAAGCTCCCGACAGTCCTGGCATTTCCACCCTGGGCCCTCGCTGCTCCTGGCCGGTCCCCTGTTTGCCGGCCAGCCTTACCCCCAGGACCTGACGCTTGCCGCCCCTGCAGGTTGGACAGAGATTTGAACTGGCTGTAAGTGGCCTGTAAGATGGGAATAAAGACACAGACCTACTAGAGCATGGACTTGAGGATATGGGGAGGGGGAAGGGTAAGCTGTGACAAAGTGAGAGAGTGGCATGGACATTTATATACTACCAAACGTAAAATAGATAGCTAGTGGGAAGCAGCTGCACAGCACAGGGAGATCAGCTCGGTGGTTTGTGACCACCTAGAGGAGTGGGTTAGGGAGGGTGGGAGGGAGACGCAAGAGGGAAGAGATGTGGGATATATATGTATGTGTATAGCTGATTCACTTTGTTATAAAGCAGAAACTAACACACCATTGTAAAGCAATTATACTCCAATAATGATGTTAAAAGATAAATAAATAAATAAATAAAGTGGCCTAATTTGTCTTTGGCATCCTTGGTGCCTGAGCATCTTGTGGTCCCCAGCCTGGTCCCTCTTCCTCCCCACTGTCAGCCCTCACCTACTGCCCTCTCCCTCTGCCCTCCAGAGTTTCCGCTGTGGCCCCCCCCCCATCCCTCCCCTTCCCTGGCTCCCTGGCCCAGCCCTAAACATTGGGGTGGGGGTCAGGCCGCCCTCCTGGCATGCTGGAGAGACAGAGGCCCATTGAGGTACTGCAGCAGGCACACAGCGCCCCCTTGTCCCCCAACAATCTGCCTTTGTCCTCAGTTCTGGCTGCTACTGCTTGGTTCTGGGGGGTGCTGCCTGGGCTGGGCTCCAGCTCCCACCCTCCCTAAAAGGAAAAGGGAGAAAGGATGGTGAGGAAGAGGGTTAAGGTTAGGGAAGAGGGCCACAAACTTCCTCAGGCTTGGGTCCTTGGGAGCTCCTAGGCCAGCCCATTTCTCAGCTCACCTCCCAGCTCATCCTGGTTTCTCCGCGGATCTCCCCCCGCCCCCCACCGCTTCTCCCCTCTGCGGGAGGCAGGGTTGGGCTCCAAGTAAGGGGAGGGTTGACCACTCCCCCCTTGCCCGCGCCTCCCCTCCCATGTGCTGCCTGGGGGGCAGTGCACGCAGCAGCTGAGCCCTCTGGGCAGCTGGGTGCAGGCCCTTCTGGGCAGCCGCCTTCTCCAGGGTCCCACAGCAGCCCTGCCTGCTTCACTTTCAGTTTTCTCGCAGTGCCTTCCTGCTCCTCCTCTCTGCTTCCCCCATCCCGTCAGTTTTTCATTTTCCTCTTT